AATAAATAATTTTTCAGTTGTCCTTTTTTTATCTTATTTATGATTTCCTGAAAATCACTATCCTGGGATAAATAATTACCAATTCTATCTTTCAATGTTGACTGAACTATCAATATTTTTAGGATTCACTCTTGGAAGCTCTAATTTATAAAAATACTTAATTTTCTGGTCTTGCTGAGTAACTAATTTGTATTGTTTGAAATCTTTCTACTTAATGCATCTAGAATCGCATCTAACTTTTTAGATGGTATTGTATATCCAAATCATAATTTTTAATGAGCTCGAACCATCGTCTGTCTTAAGTTGAGTTCTTTTTGATTATATATATATATATATATATATATATGACTTTTATAATTTGTATAAACTTTACATCTGACTCCATATAAATAATGCCTCCATATTTTGAGTGGAAAAAATCACTATTGCCAATTCTAAATCATTGGTAGGATAATTTCATTCAGGAGATTTTAACTGTATTGAGGTATATTACACTACTTTACCATACTGCATTAACTCACATCTTAATCCCCTCAACAAGACATCACTGAAAATTTGAAATTATACTTCATGGAATAATTAACATGAGAACAATCATTGAACAAGTTTTCAACATTTGTAAAGTTTTCTCACACTGATTGTTCCATTCAAATTTCACTGTCTTTTGTGTTAACCTTGTCAAGACCTGTCCCAGATACTTGTATTAACAAGGAATGAATGAAAAGTCGGATCGGTGTAACATTTCATTCAATTTCATAAACAATTTGACATTCAACTTCTCAATAAAACTAATGAGTCACTATAACAAATTTTCTATAAAATTATTGATATCATTTTTCAATCTAAATATTTACATCAATCATAAATTATCTGTTTTCATTTGCACGCCATTTTCTATAGAAGTACTTCTTCCTTTCAGACATTTCTATTTCTCTGGAGACTTACCTGAAAATATTAGTTTAATAGGTTGAGCTTACAATATAAATTCAGTGGGTAATCTTTCTATATATAACATCTAAACATGTACAAAATATAATGCATATTCCTTTTCTCATTTCTTTTACAATATTAAAACTTATATAAACATTCATATAGCATTTACAATACTTCATATTATTTTTCCTTTCTTTCATTCATTTTTATACATTTTAATTACATTTCATATCATATATATTTTTTATCATTTTTTTTTCAATTCAATTAGTATAGGAGCACCGTTTAAATGTAACAATAAATGTACAACTATTTCTATTTTTTTTTTCATTTTTTATTTAACATGCACGGGTATGCTGCTTTAATAAATGTACAACTATAATTACCCATTTTGAATGTTTTGGCTTCAACTCTTTTGAAATCTTCGACTCTTAAGATAATCTTCTTTACTACAATCTAAATTTACATACAAACATATAACTATTATCATCTTTTAACTTTCACCATTTTCTTATAAATAATGCTTTAATAAATTCTTACTTCCAATCTCCTTTTTGAGATCTATTATTAACTTCAGTTGTCACTTTCATATATTAGGTTAACCAATTCTCCATTATTCCAAAATACTTTAAATTTGCATTAACCATTGCTAATGTAACATTAAGTTATTTATTAATATGATTACAACATCTACTGAAATTGATGCGGACATCGGCCAGAAGATCTGGCGCATTTATCATAGGAGGCGTCGTAAATCGACCACCAACCTTGGAGACGGCTGGGTTCGTGGTTTTCTCTTTGTATTTTCGTCTTCATCCACCACCCTCTTTACATATTTCGTTTTATCTTATATCGTTGTTTGGTTTTGTCATCTTTTCTTCCTCCCTCAACTTCACGGTCCAAGCTTACAACATCTACTGAAATTGATGCGGACATCGGCCAGAAGATCTGGCGCATTTATCATAGGAGGCGTCGTAAATCGACCACCAACCTTGGAGACGGCTGGGTTCGTGGTTTTCTCTTTGTATTTTCGTCTTCATCCACCACCCTCTTTACATATTTCGTTTTATCTTATATCGTTGTTTGGTTTTGTCATCTTTTCTTCCTCCCTCAACTTCACGGTCCAAGCTCCATACCGAGCTCACCCCATCCGATCCCCATCCGTCCACTCCAAGCCCCCGGCCACTTCCCTCACCCGCCGGCCACCTCCCCCATCC